TCCCTAGAAGTACAGTTATTTGATATACACACACAGCAAAGTGTTGCTCACTGACAACTATCTGTTAAGCAAGTCATATGTCAAAGATGGCATCAAGCATGGAAGTTATAAACTACCATAAACATTAAGCATTTCTAAAAGAAGGTCTGTTTCAAAAAATTTGTCTCTGAAAACTTCTCAGCGTTTCAAATGCTAACTGATGTTGGAAAACTGTCAGTGAGTAAAATGCAGAGTTTCAAAACACAGAGTATCATGGTGGAAAAGCTTTATCATATTAAATGAACATGACAAAGTTTCTGATGACACACAGTGTCATGTCAGTTAATAAACAAAGAGACTGAAACTGTGCCTCAACCTTTATCCTAATATTCCTAAGTATCTCGCATCACTATGCAAATAGTAAACTGCAGTTGGATTATTCTTCCTAGCATGAAAAGGTGTTTGCTCATTGTCTTTTTAAGTGTAGATTTTCCTTAAATAAGTTTGCTAGTTTTAGTTACATAGAATATCATTCTACAATTAAAATAATTCTTTCCAAGTTAACACAAAACCAAATAAAACTACCTTTTTTCAATAAACGACCTTGAGTATGACTAGTAATAAAATATTCACATGGTAAACCTGCAGAATAAGATCCAATTCTAGTCCCAAAGTATTTATAATTGTTTAAAGATAAATAAAACTCCAAATTTAAAAATAATCCTGAGTGATAGCTGTGTAAAAATCCACATAAAATTGGTAATATAAATATATGTAAATACATATAATTTGCATTTCCATAATTTGAAATCAGACTCCAAATTTTTTAAAAAACCTTTACAACAAATCTGATCTGCTTTAGAAGTGCTGCTAAAACTCAGAAAATGTATGTTGGAAAGACTGGCCTGCCCTCTGTGGAAAGCATGCTAGTGTAACTTTTTTTACAATTTACGTTTATATGAATGTGGAAGCTGCATTTACAGCACAGAGCATAAGGATCCTTTCGTCTAGGTCCCCTTTCATAGAATCATAGAACCATAGAATTGTTTAGGTTGGAAAAGACCTTTAAGATCATCGAGTCCAACTGTGAACCTAACACTGGCAAGTCCAGCGCTAAACCATGTCCCTCAGTGTCACATCTACACGTCTTTTAAATACCTCCAGGGATGGTGACTCAACCACTTCCCCGGGGCAGCCTGTTCCAATACTTGATAACCCTTTTGGTGAAGAAACCTTTCCTATTGAAAGGTTCCTTTATTGAATACTGTATCCAAATGGATTTGCATACCTCTCACTTGTGTTGTGAAAAACTTTTATATTAGGTTAGGTAATAAATGATTGCAAATACAGTTGTTTAACGGTACACACTATGCAACTGGCTATTGAAAACATTGTCTCTTTCTTCTGATGACAGTCATAGCACACTATTTGTGTGAAAACATTTGATTAATGATGTAATATAGTGCCAGGTGGAGAGGGAAGGTTGAAGTCTCTTTCAGTCCTTTTCTTTCCTAAGTCTACAAGAATCTATACAGGTCAAGTAACACAACATTTTATATATAAATTTTACAAAGGTACAAAGACAGGGTCTTTCTTGAGATGTAAAACTTACAGTATTTGCAACAAAAAGAGGCAAGGTACTGTCCTTAGCAAAAGGATATTCTGTTTTAATTTCTTTAACCTGCTCAGCTCAACCTAGTGATTTTATAGGCTGTTTAATCATGTAATTGTAGCAGAATCCCTTTTTAAAAGTGAGACTTTCCCTGATGTTAGTAGTAGCAAAATATTTTTAAATTGATACATTAAGAGGGGAAAGGAAAAAATATTTTTACCCGGGAATATAGCAGCACCAAAATGAGTTTTCTCATACAAATATTTTCAATGCAGAAGTAAAACCTTAAAGCAACTAGCAAGCTATTTTTCACTGATCATATGTTACCAAAGTAATACAAGGCACCTTTAAACTTAAAAAAGATACTTGAGATTAAGATTTCTGACAGATATAGATATAAAAATAGTGTTTATTTACTAGTCTAATATCATAAATTACACATTTTTTCTTCTTTCTGTTGCTTGGGCAGATCTGAAAGTCTCCTGGTACAGCAAAGAGAGAGAGATCAAGCCATCGCGGTTTTTTAGAATGACTCAGTTTGAAGACACTTACCAGCTGGAGATTGCTGAAGCTTATCCAGAGGATGAAGGAATCTATACCTTTGTGGCTAGTAATTCTGTAGGCCAAGTGACAAGCACTGCTACCTTGAAGTTAGAAGGTACCGTGTGCAATTAAAGAAGATGTCTTGTTTAGGTCATGTTCCAATACTAATGTTAATATACACTGATGATTATATGTGAGTCATTGTCTGTCATTTTGTCTTTTAACTCAATTAATTGCTACAATTTACAATGTCCACAGAATACATGTACGTCTCCAAAATACAGGTCATGCACAGGAAAACATATTTCACAACTTTTCAATGTTCCATGCACCTCACCTTTTCATTCTCTCCAGTATTAGAATCTGTCATACCAAACATGGTAGAAACCTTCTTTCTAATGGAATTGCATTGCTTACACATTCTTTGATTTGACTGTGAGGACAATCTAGCAGGAGTTTTTGTATAACACTTTGAAAGTGTTGGAAAACGTGTTAAATAGAGGTGTGTACCAGGTACTTGGGCAGCTGAAAAGAAATAGTTTACATCCATATGAATTGATGAAACATTGACCAAAGTTTTAGAGCAGAAATATTGTCTGGAGAATTTGCTATTTAAGTACTATATTGTCCTTGATATTATTTAACCATAAATATTTGTTTTCTTTTTGCAACAGATTTTATAAATGATGAGTTAGAATAATTCATGCTGTTAAGTTGCAAGTTAGAAAAAAAATCTTGAATGAGAGAGAAAATTTATTGTAGTGTAGGGTAAGGAATTAAAGTTGGAATGCTTCTTTTCAGGATTTAAAAAGGTTGAAGAAGTTACATCAGAGTCCCATTGGCATGTTTCTTCATCTGTTTCACTTAAGGAGGAGTCTATTGGCCAAAGGCCCGCCTTTATCCAGCCTATTTCAAGCTGCAGGGTATGCAGCGGGGAATCAGTCAGATTTCAAGCCAGAGTCTCTGGCATGCCCAAACCAAAAATCCAGTGGTTTCATAATCAACAACTCATGTTGCCAACAAAAGACTTAGTTTTCCACTTTGATGAGTCTACAGGCACAGCTATACTGATAATAGTAGATGCTTTCTTAGAGCATGCTGGCCAATACACTTGCAAGGCAAGAAATAGTGCTGGAGAAACAACTTGTACAGCTACACTTACAGTGACTACAGAAGGTAAAGCCCCATTTTTACTTCAAAGGGATTCAGTTTGTTGTATACCACACTTTTACGCTGTTACTAATGTTCTTCTTTCCTTGTTTCACACCTTTTCTTTAGCAGCTAATGTTAGTAGTACCTACCCTCTGTAACCCAGCCACTCTCATTTCTTCTGTTTAAGCCGTAACATTCGGAAATTTGCAAATTTGTGTCTTGATATAGATCAAAGAATAGAATCATTTTACTGAAGGCATTCAGATTTTTAAAACAAGTAATTAAGTGATCTTTATAACATTGGCTGAGGTATTTTGCACTATTGTAGGAAAAAAAAAAAAAGAAAATACCTCCTTAAAAAGTTCCATAATAAGTTTCCAATACTAAAATAGACAACTTCAGTGAAAGAAGAGATAAGCATCAACTGTGTATCAACTGCATGACTAGCTTAGGCATCACTTGTCATTCATATATGTAAATGGATAATCTTTGTGTCAAGAGCATAGTGCATCTGGCATGCTGAGTTTTCAAATGAAGATCATTCATTTTCATCCTCCATGCCGTTTGATTTTGTTCAGAGCATGGCCCAGTAAAGTTCTTTAGATACTAATACTGTTGTTATTTTTGTTACTTGATTACACAGTGCAAGCCCTAGATAGGCAAAGTTCTGGGAAAGATGTAAAAGAGTCTGTCCAGTCTCAGGCTATATCAGAACTTCATGTTGCTCCTCTCACAAAGAAGAATATTAAAACTTATCAAAAAGTATTTAAATCAATGCAACAACCATCACAGGAACTGGGTATGCAGGTTTTTGAAAGCGTATCAGAAAGTTTGACCATGAAGTCTACATCAGTTGAAGAAATGGAAGCCATGCACACAACAATCCTTTCTCAAACATCTCAGAGCACCAGGATCTCTATGGCCACTGCTCGGGAAATGAAAGATGTCCCTCCAAAGATTCTCTTGCAGCTCAGAGACCTAACTGTGAAATGTGGTGACACTGCTCAGTTCGTATGTGGCTTAGAAAATGAATTCTTCTCTGAGTTTCTTTGGGCCCACGAAGGTGAAAGGATAGAAGTGTCTGAAAAATTGAAGATATCACAAAATGGAAGTGTCCTACTGCTCACAATCCTAAATGCCCAGCTGACAGATCAAGGACTGTACAGTTGTACTGTATGTAATGATTACGGAGGGACAACAACTGCTGCAATACTAACAGTCAAAGGTGGTTATCTGACTTTTAACATTATGACTTACCTTTTGCTGCTTCATTATCACTGCCTACAGCTCACTCGTATTTCCTTTACTATCAGTATTTAATTGAGAAGGTTCTAGTAATAATGCTTTGGAGTTTTTCCTCCACATTTACAGCTCTATTCATAAGTGACATGTGCAGTACCGGGAAGTTGGTATTGTAACTTCATGCCTCTTCCCAGCAAGTCACAGATGTCTGAGGCTTTTTATTCCTCATATCCTTTATGATATACAGTGATATGTAAAGCAAAACAAGCTGGTAGGAATTTTTACATTTTGAGAATTCCTGAAGCTGGAGTTTAAGGAAGATAAGAATGTCAGATAAGCATTGTTGAACTAGATACCTGGTCATTTCAAACTCTGTAGGTCCAGCTTGTTTCCAGTAAATCCAAGGTTGGCAATATAGGTCAATGCACCTGAAAGGATTAATGGGTGCAAGTATTGTATTACTGCACTAAGGAATTGTCTTCTACCCTTCACTTTCTCTGAGATACAAGTATTTAATTTTGCAAAGACTCCTTCCACTTCTTCCTGACATCAGCGTATTAAAATGTTAGTAGTGTTACCACTAGTGAAGACCCAAAAATATATTATCACCTCACTGGTCAGGTGATAGTATTTCTGCTGAGCTCAAAGGAATCAAGAGCAGAGAACTAAGATGAATAATGAGGAAGCCATTGACCCTCTTGATTTGGCTTTTACATATTGAAGTGTCTTTCTTCACAGAAAGAATATGCTTTACATAATCTTCTGCTGCTCCTTTCTAAATTGAGGTTCTCAATTAAAAGTAAAGATGTGCTTGTATTAGGCATTACAGACCAAGCCTTGGTCCCATGAATGTTCCATAGGCTTAACAGGTACCTCAGGAATAGAGCTCTTAAATGTGTAATTACTCATGTTTAATAGCATTGTTGTAGCACTAATATGCTGGACATTCTTTCAATACTAATTATTGCTCTTTTCCCCCTAAGTATATTTTTTATTCCTGCAAAACATCTGACCTAATGCTTTTCCTAACTTTATTCTTACCTAGCAAAAGAAGCACAAGCCAAAGCAGTAACAAAAATTACCCTTGAATCAGATACTAAAAGCTTTAAAGCAGCCAAAGATTGTCAGTTTAAAGCATCTGAAGTTAAGCAAGAATCTTCCAAGAAAACCTCAAGTTTGTTTATATCTACATCCCAAAGACCATATGAAACTGAGAAGCAAAGAAACAGAGTCTACTATCCTGATGTTGTGCCATGTGAAGACATCATGGAAACTGATGCCGAAGCACCAGAGTTTCTTGAAACTCTGCCTTCAGAAACCACTGTTAAAGAAGGAGATGATGTGTTACTCTTTTGTATAATGAAGGGTGTGCCTACACCTTGCGTGGTCTGGCTTTGCAATCAGCTAATAGTTGAGGAGTCTGCATTGTGTTCCTTAAAACATGATGGGCCACTGTGCAGTTTAAGATTGTTGAAAGTTGGTCAGAACCACAAGGGTATATACAAGTGCAGGATAGTTAATCCTGCAGGACAAGCCGAGTGCAGCACCCATCTGAGAGTGACAGGTTGGCAACTGCATGTTCCTTCCAAGTATCAATTCCTCATGCGTAGAATCATTGCATTCCAGTACATTCATTCCCTGGGAGATGATAAAAATGAGAAGCATCTCATTAGTCTGTGGATTGTTGAATGTTTTCTTCAGGGGTTTAAGGCATGATAAAGGCATGTTACATCAGACTCTTTCCCTCACCCTGCAAAATAGAAAGCAAACCTTATAGAAAAGTGTACATTGCAAACAAGTTTGAAAGCATTTGATTACACTGTTCTCAAAATTTATCAAGTGTTTGAATTGTTTGGCATGCATTTATGTGTATGTATGTGCGAATTTCTGTATGTTTGCAAGAGAGATTTGATGTTTTAACTACATAAAGTGTTGATTGGCATATTTAGCAACTATAGCTCAAAAGTCTTTGTCTTTTTATTCTAGCTCCTGAAAAAATTATTCATGAGAAGCTAGAGGAAGAGATTGAAATGGAAGTGAAAGGTACAGTCACCAACGATGTTACACTGAATAATTAGTACCAGTAATTAGTAACATTGTGAAAAGCTTTTATCTGCTTACATGTAGTGTCTGATGGGGAAAGAAAGACACACTTTAAAGCATATTGGAACATATTGCATGTTTGTTTTGATATGCAAAGGGTTACCTGCATTATAAGGTTATTTAAGTTTTAAAATATGTTTAAAACTTCAAATTTATAATTTTGCAGCCATATTCATAACTTTTACTTCATGCTTTGCAGCTGTTCACAGAGCTTTTATTTGTTCAATTTCCTTTTGAATGCATGGAATAGTTTACTTCAGAAGGAAGTTATACAAATCTTAATCATATTATTTTTAAACAAGTTAGCAACCTAACATTAATCAGTTCAGTGGACACTATTGGATGGATGGAAGTATACTAGAAAGCATTTGTTGTTTAGGATATGTGAAAGCTACACATTTCCATTGATTCCTTGCACTTTTTTTACATACATTAATTCATCATTATGTATCTCTTACCCTGGCTTGCAGATAGCATACATGGTTCATGTTGCTTGCTTTTTTTCCCTGTGCATAACACTGTGAAGTTAGTGGCTGTATTAGTTCGAATAAACGCCTTCTCATTTCATGTTAGCTAATTACTTACTTTTTTTTTAAATATCTTTCAAAATATTTTTTCTCAATTGTTTGAATATTTAATCTACAAACAGAAGGGTCAGAAAGGGCGTTTATTCTACTGTCTGCAAGTCAGGTAAGATTTTCTTCTTTGCCACCCAAAGACACACAGCTTTTCCAGGCAGCAAAAACATACACGCAGAAGAACGTGTTATTTTGAAATTCATTTTTGCTTGTTCAAGAAGAAATTTCCACAGTCTGAAGAAAGAACAGACAACGAACGATTTTCGTGTCAATCTTTAAAACAGAGCAAGGCGTTGCGTTTATTCGAACAAATATGGTGAGTGAATTACTTTTTTTTCCTGGGTGTGTGATGAAATCTGTTGCATGCCCATTTTTTATTTCAATATATTGCTATTTAATTTTTTTCAATCAGATGGCAGGCAGAGTGTGGCATGTTGTAACCCAGTCTCCTTCTCTTGCAGAGCAGCACAGCAAGGCGAACCTCGAGGGACCTGGAACAGCAGTGGTGCTGGCTTGCACCCAGAACCGTAAACCCACCTTCACACAGGGCCTCAAATGTAGGTCTGTCTTGGAGGGGGACCCTGCACTCTTCCAGTGCAAGCTCATGGCATGCCCGACACCCCACATGGCTTGGTTTCACAACAACCGGCCGGTCCACCAGGACCGCCGCAAGGTGATCCGCACTGAGAGTGAGGAGCACACGCACCATGCCAGCCTGGAGGTGCGGGATGTGCGGGAGCATGACGCTGGTAGCTACAGAGTATTTGCCATTAACAGTGAGGGCTCAGCTGAGTCCACTGCCTCGCTGCTGGTGGCACGCAGCAGGGAGCAGCAGGGCATGGGTTTTGCAGGGAAAGCAGAGTGGATGCGGGAGAGCTGGGAGTGCCTGCTGCGGCAGCGGCGGGAGGATCGGCTGCGGGTGGTGCTCCGCTGCACTGGCTCGCCCTTCGACAAGGGGCAGGAGGCTGAGCAGTTGCTTGGGGACCTCTCCCCAGCCCGAAGCATGGTACGAACCATCCGTTTCCAGAGGCTGCCACTGGTGGGGCCTCACCGTCCAGGGCTGGCATGTGGTAGGGAGCACAGTGGCGCAGTGGCGGATGCTGAGGAACTGCTGGATGAGGAGATCCGTTGGAAGCTGCAGCGTCTGCGGGAGGCAAAGAGGGCAGCGCTGAAAAAGAAGCAGGAATCTCTCATGTCTATGCCCCAGGGAGGTCCTCCTGGGAAGTCCAGCCCACCTAAGGCAGCTGCCACAATGGATGGCTCGGAGCCCCTTGCAGTGCAGGCAGTGAAAGGGTACCGCAGACCCAAGGCCGCAGGCAAGAAATGGCAGGTGCCAGGTGGGCTCCTGGAGCCCTGCCCACCCCTCTTTGTCCAGGAGGTCAAGCCCCAGGAGGCATTTGAGGGGCACAGATGCACCTTCTCCTGCCTTTTCCATGGCCGCCCACAGCCCACAGTCACTTGGTACAACAACACTAAGCCTGTGGGGCGCATCCAGGGCACCGCAGTACACACCACAGAGTGCCAGTCTACACTGACCTTCCCATCCCTGCTTCCACAGCATGATGGCACTGTTACCTGCGTGATCTTCAACCCGCTGGGCACAGTCAGCACCTCAGCTGCACTCCATGTGAGGCGGCGGATGCCAGCCTATGAGGCCATGAAGAAGGAGGAGGAAGAGGAAGGGAAGAAAGAGGAGGAGGAGGAAGAAGACAAGGTGAAGGAGGAAGAAGAAGGGGAGAAAGAGAAGGAGGAGGAAAAGGTGGAGGAGGAGGAAGAAGAAGTCGGCCTGGCCTTTGCAGCAGAGCAGGGACTGCCAAGTGCAGTTCCAGACTCAGACTTGCTGTCACTGCCTGTGGAAATCAAAATCACTGCCCCCACCCCAACGCCAGAGCAAGATACAGAGATGAGGGAGACCATGCGGCCCTCTCCAGACCAGGCTGTTCCCACCATAAAGCACAAGTTCAAGTTTTCATTTGATGTGGGAAATGAGCCACCCCAAATTGTGGCAGAAGCCCCAGCACACATTCATTGCCATGAAGGGGAGGCAGTGGTGCTGGAGTGTGCTGTGTCTGGGCAGCCCCCACCCGCTGTGGCCTGGTCCCTGAATGGCCAGAGCCTCTCTCCCAGTGAGAGGCTGAGGTTTGAGGAAGGCAAGCATGGCATGTACCGCTTATACATCCCAAGGGTCTCCGTTGCGGATGCTGGGCTCTATTGTTGTGTGGCCAAGAATGTGGCTGGAACAGCACAGGCTGCCTCTGAGCTGACGGTGCAGCCTAGTGCACCCAGGTTGTATAGCAGGGATGGACGCACTGAGGAACTGACTGCCATGGACCATGTTCTGCACCTCCAAGGCCTCAGCACACTTGGGAAGGATGACGAGGAACAGATCACATGCTCCAATGAGGAGGAAGCCCACCTACCCTGGTCCCTGAGGCTGTCTCCGTCTCCTGGTGAGCAGTTGGAAGAGCAGTGTGAGAAAACTCCTCACTTCAGGGAAAGTGAGATACAGGAAACAAAGGTGCTGGATATCATGGAAGTTTATGCAAGGCAAGAAACAGGTCATACAGAAGAAAGTGTGACAGATACAGATGGTGTTTCTGACATGGGGCAGCACAGGGGAAAAGCTGTATCTGAGGAACAGAGCTTTGGAATTGATGTCACTGAACTGCACCCCAGCATGTCGAGGGAAGAGCATGAACTGGTGGCCAAGGACTCAGGTCACTTTTCAGAGGAGCTGGAGGCTGAAGGAGACAAGGTGGCACCACATACAGATAATCTATCCTGGGACATCTTGAAGTCACCATTTATGGAAGTGAGAGGGCAAACATATGCCTCTGAGCAGTCTGCTCTGGCAAGGGAATGTGAGGATTCACAATTTTTCATTCCTGTTTCACCTGTGGTGCAAGAGGGGAGTGATGTTTACATGGAGGAGAGAGATGCCACTGCCTGGGAGGCAATGTCTCCTGATGTGCCTCTTGTAGAAGAGCTAAGTGTGCCCCACCTGCAGGACAACATTGCAAGCACACCCACAAAGGAGCAGTTTGGCTTTAATGACTTCTGTACAGAAGAGCAGCAGGAGGAACAGGCCAAGGAGCAAAAGAGGTCAGTTGATATTGAACAGGACATCGAGGTTGGTGATCATCTTTGTAAAGAAGAAATTATTGATGTCAGGGATGCTGCACACTGGGAAATGTGCAATGATGGGCAAATGCTGCAAGAAATGGAGTCTGATGCAGGCAATGCATCTTTGGATCTAATCCTCACTCCTCCTGGCATAGAAAACTCAGGTCAGGATTTTACTGAGGAAGTTGAGGTTCACCTAGAAGAAGTGCATTTCAAAGAGCAGCTGTTGCCATTTGAGACTGATGAGACCAATATCACATTTGATCTGAAGAAGTTTGTGGAGCCTTTCCCAGCTGCAGAGTCTGTGGACACAGAACAGGCAGAAACTTGCACAGCTCTGGAGAGTGTGGAGGTAGGAGTGACTGGCCTCATCTCCCCTGAGCACCAACATGATGTGCTTGTGGAAGAGATGTCTCTGACTGAGGAGCTGCATCAGAGCTACAGGATGCAGCAGGAGGAGGTCAGTGCCCAGGAAGAGGCACAGCCAAGAGAAATCAGAAGGGCTGATTTGCAAATCCCTAATGGAGACCTTGGCAGCATCATGATATCTGCTGAAGAGGGATCTTCTGCTGAAGAAATTAATGAGTCAGCGGTGAGTGTCTGTGGGGATGATTCACTTGAGGGACAAACTCATAGTTTCCTAGTGGAGTCCACAGCAGATTTCCAAAAGGCAGTGCAGGAAACACATTTGTGGGAGAGTGGGGAACGACTGGAGACCACAGACTCCCAGAGTGACAGCTTCATCATTGACTTGAAAAAAGCTGCACATGAAAAGAAACTCCAGGCTGGGCATCAGGCTGAGGAGGAAGAAGGTTCTGGAATAGAAAAGGTCTTTGAGACAGGAATGAGTAGCTCCACCTGTGAGATAGAAAGCACAGATTCCACTGAGGAGATGCCCAGGGACACCCAACAGGAACCAAACACAACCAAAGGCTTTTCTTTTGGGCAACTCTTACTCGGTTTAATAATGGATGATCCTGTGGCACAGAAGGAGCAAAGGAAGGAGTCTTGGGGCAAGAAGATGACTCCCACTGAGGAAGCCTCTGAGAATAGCCTGGATGGAGAAGGACTGCAGGAGGATATTTCTGTAGGTCCAGAGTCCAGTGCTGTTCAAGCCTCAGAGCTGGAGCCTGACTTGTGCCTGGCCAAGTACTTAAGGTCAACTGGGATGCAGGAAACTCCAGATCTCAAAGGCACAGTTCAGAAGGAGCAGCGAGAGACCATCACTTCCCTGGAAGTGGAGGAGGTTACCTTCAGCATGGTTTACGACTATTATAACAACCAGCAGGAACTCACCCGGCCCTTCTCTCCTGAGTCGGAAATGTCTATAGAGCTGGAGAGCAGGAGCGGAGAGGAGTCACCTGATTCAGACCGCTTCTACACACCTCCCTCCTCAGTGGAGATCTTTGAAACTGCTTCATCAACGTCCTACCACACACCACTCAGCACACCTGAGCGCTACTCCACACCGTCTGAGGGCTCAGGGTACAGAACACCGCCCGAGCGCTACTCCACACCGTCCGAGGGCTCAGGGTACAGAACACCGCCCGAGCGCTACTCCACACCGTCCGAGGGCTCAGGGTACAGCACGCCGCCCGAGCGCTACTCCACACCATCCGAGGGCTCAGTGTACAGCACACCACCTGAGCACTACTCCACACCCTCTGAGGATTCAAAATGCAACACACCCTCAGAGCGCTACTTCACACCCTTTGAGCAACCCTGCTCTGCATCAGGGGACAGCACACCACCAGAGCGCTACCGGACACCCACTGGGGAGTATATGGATGCCCTGGCCGTGCTCCCCTTCTGTGAGAGAAGGCAGCAGCCTCCAGACCAGCCACAGGCTGAGGTGTTTAGGATGCCCTGTGAAGCCCTGGAGCCATCAGGCAGGGAGATGCCACCTGCATTCCTCAAGGCGTTGAGCAGGAGGATGCTGTATGAGGGCAGCACACTGAGTTTTGTGGCTGAGGTGGTGGGTGTGCCTAAGCCAGGGGTGAAATGGTATCACAATAAATCTCTGCTGGAGCTGGATGAGAGAGTGCGGATAGAGAAGGATGGGGATAAATGTTTGCTGGAGATCACTAATATCCAGAAAGCTGATGGAGGACAGTATCTGTGTCATGCAGTGAACATTGTTGGGGAAGCTAAAAGTATCACACAGGTGGAAGTTTTATCTGAAGATGGGCGGTCACTAGCACTGCCACCCCCTGTAACCCACCAGCACGTTATACACTTTGACCTGGAGCAAAACACATCTTCAAGGTCACCTTCACCACAGGAAATCCTCCTGGAAGTGGAGCTGGATGAAAATGAGGTGAAGGAGTTTGAGAAGCAGGTCAAAATCATAACCAGTCCTGAGTTTAGCCCAGATAAGAAGAGCATGGTGGTTTCCCTGGATGTCCTTCCACTTGCCTTGCTGGAGCAAGCTGCAGGCTTGGCCACAGAGGAGAATGAGGATATAAAAATTGATTTCCAAGTAACTGAAATGCCTCCCCGATTTGCTGTGCCCTTTGCAGATGTCAAGGTGACAGAAGACTCGGAGGCAGTGTTTGAGTGTGTGGTAACAGGTACACCTGTCCCAGTAGTTCAGTGGTTCAGAGGTGACACCTGTGTGACACCTGCCACAGGGAAGTACGTTGTGAGTCAAAAGGAGGGACTTCACAGTCTGAAGGTCCAAAATGTAGGTCCTTCTGATGGTGGCTGGTATCACTGTCGGGCAATCAATAGGCTGGGAGAAGCAATGTGCAAAGGTTCCCTTGTAGTCATGGCTCAGCAGGGAGCAAGTGCTAAGGCAAGTAGTGAGACAGTCATGGGTAGTGAACCACACAGGCCCCAGAAGAGTGACTTGCTTTTGAGTAAGACTGTGAGCACAGGTGACCAGTCAAAAACACAGCTCGAGCCCAAGTTCGAGCCACATATAGACGACTCAGAGAAAGCAATCCAACTGCTTGCAGTGACTCAGCCAGAGCAGGAAGTGGAAGGAGAGAAGTGTGTCAATATTAGTTTTGATGTGTTTGCAGAGCCGTTGCAAGAGGAACGGGTTGAGGTTAGGGCAGAGGACTTGGAGAGCTGCAGCTTTGAGTTCCAGGTCACAGACACTCCTCCCAAATTTCTGAAGCTCATTTCTGACTACAGTACATTTGTAGGTGCCTCAGCATGCTTCCAGTGTCTCGTGACTGGTTCTCCCCACCCAAGTGTCTGCTGGTACAAGGATGGGGTGTTGTTGGAAGGGGACAGGTACTGTGCGCAGGAGGAGCAGGGGGGCTCTCATAGCCTTACTATTGAAAACTTGATGCAAAGTGACACTGGGCAGTACAAATGTATAGCTACTAACAGGGCAGGGACTGCTGAGACTTGTGCTGTGTTAACATTATACTAAATTTCCATAATTTATTTCAGAGTCTCTTTTGAAACACTAAATGTTTTTATGCTGTTGTTCACTGCAGCACTCATTTTAGGGGCATTGTTTTTCATCTCTTTAGGGATGAAAACCACTCTTATGTGGGCATATTTCTGTCTCACTTAAACTTGCCTTCGTTGGGGAATTTAAGTGAGATTTAATCTGTGCATAGGTCTTGTGCATACTCTGCACCGAGGTATATTTCAGGCTCCTTCCAAGCTCCTTACTCATTCTTGTAAAGATATTTTAATTGAAACTCATTTATGCAGAACTAATTTTTTTCATATAGTGTACATATTCCTGTATGTCTGTAACAGTGCAATCATTATTGTTTTATGTAGGCTAGAAATCACCTGAAAATGTAGAAACCACCTTTTTCTTGTAACCTAAAGGTATGGAATACTAAATTATGCTTGCTGTTTAGTTTGGATATCGTTCTGTGAATGAACTCCTTAAATTGGTATTCCCTGTTCTCACAATGTTGTGTCAGACCACGTGAGTCTCAATGATTCAAATCCTGTGTTTACAGTTTCTATCACTGCAAAATTCTTACATCTGTAGGCCTCATTCTACTGACTTATGGTATTAAATGACTTTTTTTTTAAGTCAATGGAATTATGCTGTTGCAAAGAAAAGCAACACAATGGAAAGCAAATGAAAGTTTTGCGTTAGTAGCAACTGGACAGGATTTTTTTCTCTATTACCAAGTAATAAACAAAGTAATAAACATGAAAACATATTTTGTACTGTATCTTTAGAAGTTAAAGGGAAAGGAGAGGGAGCATAACAAATCAATGATGTAACTGTAAATTCATTAAAATAATTTTGATTGTCCCCGTATTCCAGTGTCATTCATAAAAAATACATAGTAGTAAAAAAGTGAGAGATTTTTATGCAGTATTCTTGTTCACATTAGAACTAAATCTCTACATATTCCTTTTTTCTTTTTTTTTTTAGTTAGTAACAGTTAAGTGTGCTATGTGTCAAGATGACCAGAAATCAGTAGAATACATTCAATTGTTATGTGTAGCATTTTCTCAGCAGAAGAGATTTTTACATTAATGTTCTCAATGTGAGTATATATTTTTGTATTTAAAATAATGCTAATATTTAGGAGCAGGAATCAGCAGTAGCTGACATAATTAAATCAGAACTAAATCTATCTTACATAAACAATGATAAATTGATTAATATGTTAAAAGTATGAAAGTTATTAACTAATATTTATCAGAAGTTAAATAAATCTCTAATGCATGTGCCAGCTTTCCAGTTACTTATAAGCCAAGGTGAAACCTTGAGTTCAACAACACTAAGCAAAAATTATTTTTTACTTTGATTACCTGTTCATGAGGTTCTTACAGTTACTTACAAATTGCTCTCAGTTGCCTTGCAAACTGCTTTAAGGAGCGTGGTGATTTTAAGCATAGAAGAACTATTCCTGTAGTACATTCAGTTATGTTCATGCATGTTCTTATTTCTAAGTTCGATGTGCCCTCACATGGAGGTCATCATGCCTCAAAACCTCAATAATCTTTAAGACTATCCCATCACTCACTTGGGATAGTAATTTTTGATCAAAAGATTCACTTTGCCCAGTTGTGTTGCCCAATATAAACTTAAAGTCAGGAGTGGGAAGTTATAATAGCCCAGTACCTGGGGAAAATGACTGGAGTGATTAGGCTAATACCAATGTGTCACTTCAGCTTCTTCCCAGTCATGACCCCATGATAAATATTTAAGATTTGTACGTTGTTAAAAGGCAGAGATAATTGTAATTTCTCATAGGTAATGGTGGTAGGAAAGAGAAGCATGAGTGTCTGACCCAGCGTTGCGCTGGGAAAGAATTGCTTCTTGATGTGTCCTAATCCATTCCTTATGTAGATGTGTAGCACTAACTGATTCATTAGACAGCAGAGGTCCCTAGCAAAGTTGGCATGAATTGTCTGATATTATATGTCAGCTGTGACATGAGGGGTCTTTTATGTCCAAAGCCAAAGAGATCAGAGGCCCTTTGGTTAGGTACTAAGCGATTATGACACGTGTTTAATTTGCATGTAAATGAACTGAATTTTTTAGTAGAAACAGGCCCATAACTTGTGTTTGAAGCCATAAGCCAAACAGGTCCAAGTTCATGTTCACATCTGAAATATATGGCCAAGCATCTTTATCTCTACCTGTGTAGTAGTGTTTGTGGTTTGTGTAAGTTTAAAAGTCTTGTTTTAAGTTTCATACATTAGCCAGGAGCACTATCATGTGCTTATGGAGAGACAAAGTCTAACCTAAGCTACAACGATATAAATCTGGAGTAATTCTAGTTTTGAATAAACTTACTCTGGGGCAACTGGTATAGCTTAGATCCATGATTGACCATCTCTCTTCAAAACTTTTGTGCTTTCATAGGAATTACAAAACTCACAATTTCATTGTCAAGTTTAATGTCTTCATTTCTGTAAACCAATTATCTTTAAAAAAGGATGAATTATGTTTCTTTGTCATCAATGTGTATTGAATGTTAACATGTATGGTAAATTTGTGAAATAAATATGTAAAAATGATTTAAGTCCGTCGCTTCTTGTACGTTATTCATTTCACAGACATAGCTAAAATATGAAGAAGTATCTGTATAGTTCTTCTATCATAAATATCCAGGAACACAGAAAAGTGCATTAATTTTTGCCACACTCCTGTATATAAAGCATTCTCATGTGTGTTAGAGTAGGTTCCATTCTGCAATTTTTATACTTTATTATGGGCCCAATTCTGTGACCCATTCTCAAATTCACTAGCACATTGTATTTCTGGCAAAACTGCCCTACTCTTTTAACAAGGCTGGTAGGTAATACTGAAGGACTGGTGTAATTTCTTTTTTTACCTAATCATCTTTTCTCTGCAGTTAATCACTGTATGCACTGTGCTATGTCATGTATATGATAGTATTTGTGGCAAGATTAATAATTGCTAAAACCAGTGAGAAAGAATTGGGTATGGAATATTCTGTTCTTCTTTATAGTTGTTATTGGAGTGCAGCAAAAATTATTATCTCACAATAAGTTTTGGAATGTAAGACACTATAATTGAGACACTTACCAAGGTTCACTATTAGAGTGCTTGGAGACATTTATCCACTCACACTTCTTTTATTCTTTTTTAACAACTCATAACTTTTCAGTATCAAATACTGTGGGCCTTAACTGAGCAAACTTGACTCATTGAGGACAACAGGATTTGCTTTCCAAAAGTTTTCTTTGCATTGTGCTTTTCATGGATGGCTTGTTCTGCTCCTGGAAGTCTCAGATTTCACTCATGTTTCTAGTGTCAAGTGTCTGCAGAGAATGACATGTTCTTGACGTCTGCTTCCTCTCATTTTTAAACCACCATTAGAACAAAGTGTTCCAACACATAAATGCCTAAATTCACAAAGGCAAGAAAAAGAAAAACCTTGAAGTGCTCTGTCCTCTTTTTCTCTGGTATTGTGGGAGTTTTAATATGCAATATTGTGACAGGGAGGAGTTTAAAAGCAGAGATGTAAATCAATGGCATTAAATCAATGGTGCAAACTCATGATTTTAGTAGTAATGGTGTTGTAAGCATAAGGGCCTAATGACAAAAAGAGGACAAAGCTGGTAAGGGAGAGGTAATATCTTAGTGTGTTAGACAAAAGATAGGAGTTGAAAGAGATGAACTAACTGCACCAGAAGAAAGGTTGTGCACTGAAAAGTCTGTGTTATTTTTCCAATCCTAATTTTGGCATTCTGCCTTTTCTTGATGTTTTGAATTAAACCAGGGTCTTAGCACTGCTCTGCTGTACTTTTTTGTATGAGCGTACGTACAAATATGTATGGCACATACCACTTTAATTATATTTGTGAAATGCACCAATATTGATTGACCGTTACTTGCACTGTACACCCTGGGGGTATGCCTAACCCATACTGTGATGTCAGGTTTAAAGAGACACTCATGTTGATCCAGATGGGAAATTCATAAGTAACCTGACAGCACAGCATGGCTTGCTGGTTTTGGCAGGTGTGTATTCAACAGCAAGAGGACCTCATGTTCATTGTTATCTGCTGTACAGTATTAAGAAAGCCTCCAGATGTATAAAAATAGTTGCACTAACACTGTTTATTGCTATCTACAAGTGTTCTCTTAAACATTTTAGTAAAACTAAACAATTTTTTTCCATACAGACATCGCTAGCTCTCTTATTGTGTCTTCTGAGGAAGGAAGAAGTGAAGGCTACAGCAGCGGCCTTCAGTTGCCTGATAGAGAGAAAACACTTGAATTTGAGCCTGAAAAACCAGTTTATTCCAGCAAAGCAAAGATGAAAATAGAGGAGGGGGGCAAAGCCCCTGTTTTCCTCAAACAGGTCTCAAATGTTGAAGTCTGGCAGGGAGATGTAGCTAGGCTCTCTGTTACTGTTACTGGCAGCCCCACACCCAAAATCCAGTGGTTTTTCAACAGTATGAAGCTAACCCCATCCATGGACTGTAAGTTAGTGTTTGCTGGCAATGACCACAGCCTCATACTCCCATGTGTGGGTGTGCAGGATGAGGGTGAGTACACATGCATAGCCAGCAATGTACACGGTGAGGCCACATGCAGTGCCCATCTCCACGTGCAGCAGCGGATAACAGGGGTCCCTTGCTTTGCCAAGGAGCCAGATAGTGTGCAGTGTGCACCGGGCTTCACTGCAATCTTTGAGTACACTGTGGCTGGGGAGCCATGCCCCAATGTGCAGTGGTTCAAGGGGAGTGAGCAGCTCTTCTCTGATGCACGTCGTTCTGTTGCTCACCACCCTGACGGCTCGGGCTCCCTGACAGTGCGGGAGTGCATGGAGGAGGACACTGGGGTCTACATGTGCAGGGCGGTGAGCGCCCTGGGCGAGGCCACATGCTCAGCTGAGCTCCTTGTGCTGCCTGAGGAGCATGCTGTGTGCAGGCAGAGCCCCACGTTGCAGCACTCTGCAGTGGCAGAGGACCAAAGCCCCCTCTCCTACGAGGAGGCTGGTGAGCTTCCTGCCATGGAAGGAGTGCTCAGCCTTGAGGCCATGAGGGAGCCCTTGGCCCTCTTTCAGCTCCAGACGAGCCAGGCAGAGCACGTGCTGCCCAGGGAAGACATCTTGCCTGGCCTGCCACCGGCCTGCCTGGCTGCACAGACTGTTGAAGAGATGCTCACCCAGGTGGCCACGACACAAGAGAGCAGCAGGCTTCTGGCAGAGCCACTGCAAACCCTCCCTGATGGCCCCCAGGGTGTCGTGCCTGCAGCAGCGATGGAGACACAACTGCCAGGCTGCCTTGGGACTGTAGCTGCACAGATACTCTTGCCCAAAGAGCAAGTCATCCCTAAGGCAGCAGAGCAAATGGCTGCTCTGAAGACGGAGGCTTCCCAAGCCCTCTTACAGGTGTCAAGCACCACTGAGAGCCATGCCATAGATGGGGACCACATCCAGGTCCTTGAGGGCTTCCAGGCAATGCAAGGTGAGCTGAATGCTGAACCCAGATTTCCCTCTGAATTGGCCTTCACTGGGGGCCAAGCTGTCCCTCTGGAGAACATTTCTTCCCTGGAAGCAGCAGAAGAAGATTTTGCTGCAAGAATCCATGAGGGGCAGACTGTGAGATTTCCTTTGCTGCTAGAAGAAAAACAGCTCCTGGAGGAGGAACATGTCATCAATCTTGCCAGCCCACTTAAGCAGTGTCTGAGGGCAGGGAGACAACCCCATGAAACAATGTACACTCACCAGCTCCAGCCAAGCCAAGTCCTCAACAAAGAGAACCAGCTCACTCCTCAGGTTCCCAAGAGCCGCAACTTAGACATAAAGTCTCAAATTAGAAATGCACTGAAAGCTGCAGTGGTAAGTGAGCAAAATCTCTTGTTTTCAGAATGGTTGGCTGATAAAGAAGACATTGAAATACAGACAATAAACATCACCATGGAACATAAACACACCCTATGCACCTATGTTGTGACTACAGGAGGACTCAGTCCCATAGAAATCCCAGTCTCCTTGGGAGAAGTCAGCGTTCAGACAGCTGACCAGAAAATGGTCTTGAAGGAGGCTTTCTATTCTCTTATTTGTGAAGAAAAACATCTCTTGACAGATGAAAAATCCAAAGCATTGCCATTCCATCCCAGCCCACTTCTCTCAGGAAAATCCTGTGATGAAACCTCTGAGCTGGAGCTCCAGCAGGCTGAGAGAACTATAGAGGCAGAAATACCCCTGGAGCAGCCTTTGTCTGCACAAGTAATCAACACTGTAACCGGGCATGGTCAAATCAAGGATGTGGGTGCAGCTGCAGCCACTGCTGATGTAGCCTCTGCAGGTATTCCCATTGAGACACCCACAGAAATACTGAAAAGGAAGGAGAAAAGGGAAGAAATATGTGAGGAAGAGGGCAGAGAGGGTCTGGAAACTAGACCTGGGAAGCTAGAGGATAAGTTGGGCAAAGAGAGTTATCCCATCATACACAGCAAACTGGTCGACACTGTTGTGGAGGAAGGGGAGAGTGTCAGTCTGGTGGCTGTCATAACAAATGTCAGAGAGGTGAACTGGTACTTTGAGGGTAAACTGGTGTGTTCAGGTGACAAATTCAAGTGTTTGCAAGATCAGGACATGTACACACTAGTAATAAGCAAAGCATTTGGGGAGATTCACCAAGGAGAGTACACATGTGAGGCGCTGAATCAAGGTGGACAAAGAGCAACAGCAGCAAAACTCACAGTTGTTAAAAGAGGTTGGATTATGGGGATAAACTACTGCCTTTCTAATACACTGCTCTACTAATGAAACTGCTCTACTATGTGTCTGTATCTTTGAATACAGATACAATATTAATACCACCATGCCACTAATCAGAGGGCCCCCTTTCTCTCTGGGTTTATGGTCTCCTTTTACCACATTGCAAAGTCTCTCACTTCCCTCACCCCAGTCTTTGGTCAGGAACTTTGTTTCTTCCTGTTCTCATCATACAAGCATGGTCAGGACAAGGTGTATCTCAGTCCCGACCACTTCTTCCCATTGTTGCTTGTGAAGTGGACCTGCTCTTCCCACTTTTCTCACTGCTGCACCCTTTCTCACTCTTTAGAGTCATTGCACAGTTTTAACACAATTTCTCATTCACACCATTTCTCACAGCTCCAGGATAGAGTGGTATATGTTTATATCACATTGTTATTGTGCATTGCTATTGCACATTATTTTTCCAGTACCACCACTGTGTTTCCTGATGTCATTATGCACCATAACACTGTCTGTCCACTGAGCCTGGTACTGCTTTCATGTCTTACAGATACTTTTTTCTTTTACAGTCACTTTATGTGGATTGCAAGTAAATCACCTTTTTTTCTTTTCCAGTCAGTCATTTCACTGTTACTTTCCAGAATGTCAGCAAGCAGGGTTTTGAGTTACTTTTTCCTTCTGATTTCAGTTGCACCGATCCTGAGGAGAAGGCTCGAACCGCTGGAGGTGGCTGTAAATCACGTGGCCAAGTTTACCTGTGAGGTAGAGACTGCTCCCAATGTAAGGTTCCAGTGGTACAAAGCTGGCCGAGAGATATATGATGGGGACAAATACTCCATTCGCACCTCCAACTACCTCTCCACGCTGGAGATCCCAAGGCCTCAGGTTGTTGACTATGGAGAGTATAGCTGTAAGGCTTCCAACCAGCATGGCAGTGTAAGCTCTACAGCCCTTTTAACAGTAACTGGTAAGTACAGACTTCCTAGCACTTCTTCTTTTCCATAAGATATCTTGGTATATTGTAACGCTTTTGCTGCTATACTTAGAAATGTTTATGGTAGGGTTCTTGACTGCCATTGTTATACATAATCCATACCTAATTTTGGCAGGCACAAGCATAGAGAAGGAATAATTTTTGAGAATGCTGCTTTTAGATACTTTCTGTACCTAGAAAAAGGAATCAGTGTGAAAAGTTTCAGAAGGGAAGAAAGAAGGGGGAAAGAGAGAGCGGGAGGAACTAGATCATCCACAGAATGGGACTGGTTTGTGAATACATTCTTGAAGAAGGTTTATTTAACTTCCAGACAACAAGAAAACATACTCTTTTAAATCTGATTTCTTTGGTGTAATAATCACTGTGCAATTATCTTAGCACCCTATGCTTATCCTGCAGCTATACTTGTGAGGTAGGCTATGCAGCTATGTGTACCTGAACATCTGTGTGCCATGGCCAGAGGGGAACTCTTTGTGGTTGGGGAAATAGATCTTCTTAAACCAACAAAAGAGGGTTTAAATCTGTTTCAATTTGCAAACTTTTTTGTCTATTGAGAGCTATACAATTATCTTTTTTTTTTTTCTTAAAAAAAAGAAAAACAAAAACAAACCCTCACCATCTTTGGGACTTTTAGTGTATGGTCATTTTTTTACTCTGACTTTTCTCTTTTTGGGAGGAGTCTTTATGTGGTCTTTGCTAAGTGCCAGATGCTAGAGACTAAAGAAAGATGTGCAAACTGTGAAATGCATGCAAACTTGTCCATCTTGAGGGTATGGTGTGCAAACATATCAGTCTTGGGGGAGGAAGTTCTGGCTTTTGGTTTATTTTCCTTTAGTTTGTACATTGCTCAAGAGATTCAAAATGCTTCAAGCTCTGGAGCAATATACAGACCCAAGAAGTACAAAACCAAAAGCCAAAATTCATCATCTTTAACACCTCTTATCTCCTTTGCTGCTGGCTTCTTCTGCTTAAGAATATCCAGTGACAAACTGGCCCCTCTTGCTCTCTGTCCCTGGCAAATGTGGAGAAAGAGCATAAGCTCTGGTCCTCACCTCTGGATAACATTGAACCCCTTTGTTTTGCAGAAGCATTTCCACCAACGTTTCTTACCAGACCTGAATCTATCACTACTTTTGTGGGCAAAAGTGCGAAGTTCCTGTGTACTGTTTCGGGCACTCCGGTCATCGAAGTCGCCTGGCAGAAAGATGGCACAACCATTTCACCTTCAGACCACTACAAGATGTCCAAAGTTGAAAATAAACATGTGTTAGAAATTTCCCTTCTCACCACCAGTGACAGAGGGGTTTACACTTGCAAAGCTTCGAACAAGTTTGGGGCTGACATTTGCCAGGCCGAAATGGTCATTATAGACAAGCCCCACTTCATTAAGGTTTTGCAGTCAGTGCAGTCAGCAGTCAATAAGAAAATACGTCTTGAATGTCAGGTAGATGAAGACAGGAAAGTGACAGTAGGGTGGACAAAGGATGGAAACAAAATCCCTCCAGGCAAAGATTATAAGATCTACTTTGAAGACAAAATAGCCTCACTTGAGATTCCTCTGGCTAAGCTGAAGGATTCAGGCCATTATGTGTGCACTGCTTCAAATGAGGCGGGAAGCAGCTCCTCTTCTGCCAGCGTCACAGTCAGAGGTAAGATAGTCCTGCACCCCCTTTACCTTTGCGCTTCTTGGGTCCCCCATTTCTTCTTTTGCAGGTAAAAGACTGCTTTGAGCTGAAATCACACTGTGTACTCTTCTCAGACCTCCCATCAGTTTCCATTCACCTCTTGCTCATTTCCCCTGCTGCCTTCCAGTGCACTGTGTGTTGCTTCAATATTTTTTTCACCAGCCAGATTCAAGAATTTCTCCAACATGCAGAGGACAGATGGATGGAGAGGGCAAGAGAAACCACAAGAACTGCAGCTCAGCAAAGATTATGCTGATCTTTTCTGAAGTCATGTTTTGTTCTTGCGCTGGGAACCAATCTTTCAAAGCTTTGTATTTCACCTTTCTTTCCATTTTCTCTTTTCCTTTTTTCCTTTTCTTCCCCTTTCTTCCCCTTTCTTCCCCTTTCTTCCCCTTTCTTCCCCTTTCTTCCCCTTCCTTCCCCTTCCTTCCCCTTCCTTCCCCTTCCTTCCCCTTCCTTCCCCTTTCTTCCCTTTTTCTCTTCCCATTTTTAGAACCACCATCCTTTGTGAAGAAGGTCGATCCGTCTTATTTACTGACCCCAGGTGACTCTGCACGCCTTCAATGCAAAATCAAAGGGTCTCCTGAAATCCAGGTTACTTGGTTCAAGAACAATAAGGAAATCCGTGAAAGCAACACACACAGGATGTCCTTTGCCAACTCTGTGGCTGTGTTAGATATTTTGGAGATGAAAGTTGATGACACTGGGAGCTACTCATGTGAAGCTGTAAACGAGGTCGGAAGTGACAGCTGCACCACTGAAGTAGTTGTCAAAGGTCTGTTCTTCTTGCTGCTGCCAGTCCATTCTTGAGAAAAACCTTCCCTTCCTTTTTTTTTTTTTTTTTTTGCATAGGTGACTAATTCTTTCTCACTGCTTTTATAGAGCCTCCATCTTTCATCCGAACACTTGAACCAGCAGAGGTAGTAAAGGGAACAAACACCGTTCTTCAGTGTGAGGTTGCTGGCACTGGACCATTTGAGATTAGCTGGTACAAAGACAAGAAACAGATTCGCAGTAGTAAAAAATACAGGTTGACCTCTCAGAAAGCTGTCGTTTCTCTGGAGGTGTCCTCATTTAATAGTGCGGATGTCGGTGAATATGAGTGTGTCATAGCTAATGAAGTCGGGAAGTGCATATGCAGTGCAACATACATCTTGAAAGGTCAGTGGGAGAGAGAAAACTCCACTACTGAAGGGATTGGCAAGAATCTCTCATTTCTTAAAATGTCTTTTCTTTGGATTTGTGGGTGGCTAGGGAGGGTGGGGAGGGAGAGTATCTTGTTCTTCTCTTAAAATTCTGTGTATATCTTGACTCTTATCTGGCATCAAACCTGTGAATTTGAAGGACATTGAGCTTAAAGGGCCATGCATTAACTTCCATCTGGGGAATGCAGCTCTTCTCCTTGCCTGGTCTTTAGCTGAATTGCGCCATGTACTGCACATACTGTCTCATAAAACTGTCTTTAAACAGCAGCTTTCATGGGATGATGTGGTAGCAGATGAGTATTTCTTCTTGTCTCTTTTCTTTGATCTAGAACCACCATCTTTTGTTAAGAAAATTGAAAATGTGACAGCTTTGGCTGGAGATAGTATTACATTACAGGCTGTGGTGAAAGGGTCAGAGCCTATTTCTGTGATGTGGATGAAGGGCAAAGACATTATTCAAGATGACAACAAAGTGAGAGTGACATTTGAACATGGTCTGGCAACGCTGCAAATTACTGGTGTCCAGCTGAGCTCTGGTGGCAAATACACCTGTGTAGCTGAGAACGATGCAGGAAGTCAGTCCTGCTTTGGTGAACTAGCAGTGAAAGGTCAGTGGAGTAGGGCTGTGATCCTTGCATTGTCTCCCACCTGAAAGGAAGAGCAATTTCTTTTTGTGCTTAACACCAGTTGTTTAATTCTCTTGTAGAACCTGCCAAAATCATTGAGAAATCTGAAATGATCCAGGTAACAGCAGGGGAACCAGCCATTTTGGAGTACACTGTCACAGGCACTCCAGAGCTAAAAACCAAATGGTTCAAAGATGGAAGGCCACTACCTGCCAGCAAAAAATATAGGATCAGCTTTAAAAATAACATTGCCCAGCTCAAGTTTTATGCCACTGAAATGCAGGACAGTGGCGAGTACACCTTTGAGATATCCAATGATGTGGGCATCAGCTCTTGTACGACCAGCTTCACTGTGCTAGGTTGGTACTGACTCTTTGCAAAGAGCCATGCTACTCTGCTCTGAGCCCAACAGAGCCAGAAGCAGAACTGCATGCCTGTTTTGCTTATGTGTTGGTTTCTTTAATTTTTTTCACTCTCAACAGATCGCACTCTCCCTCCCTTCTTCACTAAACCACTGAAGAACATTGACAGCATCATTAGCACCTCATGCCGCCTAGACTGCAAAATTTCAGGCTCTCTTCCAATGACCGTCTCTTGGTTTAAGCAGGACACTGAGATCGCTTCAAGTGCCAAGTACACAGTACACTTTGCAGAAGGCTCTGCATCTTTGGAAATAAAACACCTAGATGCAAGTGACGCTGGGGTCTACATTTGCAGAGCCACAAACTCTGCTGGTAGCAAAGACAGCAGTAGCACTTTGTTTATAAAAGGTTTGGCAATTTGTTTCACAGTTCTTGGAGTTTTACTTTTCATGTGATAATACTTTTCTTCCCCAAAGTGTAGGCCATGTGTCTTACTCTTGACAATTGTTTCCTTTCAATGCAATCTAGAGCCACCCAGCTTCACTGTAGAACCAGAGTCCCAAGATGTACTGCCTGCATCAACCGTACGTTTCAAAGGCACGTTCAAAGGCACAACACCACTAACAGTAAAATGGTTTAAAGGTGATACTGAGCTGGTGACGGGAGGAGCCTGCTACATTATGACAGAAGCATTAGCAAGCTACTTGGAGCTTTATGCAGTCAAACCAACAGACTCGGGAAAATACACCTGCAAAGTCTCCAATGTCGCTGGTTCAGTAACACGCAGTGCAAACTTGTTTGTAAAAGGTTTGCATTCTTACTCTCCTTTAAACTTTCAGCTGCTGGATTGACCCAGTGGCACTCTTTCTTGCCTTCTTTGTCCTGAATACTCTTCTTAAATCCACAGAACCTGCCACCTTCAAGGAGAAGCTAGAGCCAACCCATCTGGTAAAGAAAGGTGGATATGCTGAGCTGACCTGTGAAGTCACTGGTACTCCTGAGATTAAAATCACATGGTTCAAGGATGATAGAGAGCTAAAAGAGAGTGACAAATACAGGATGTCTTTTGCAAAATCCTTAGCGATACTCCATCTT